TAGTTTTTGTAGATTATCATCCCCTTGAGTCCATGTCCTTTGATCTTGTTATTGTCCTATATGATTTCATGGATTGTTGTTATAGTTTTTCTGGATATATTGGCAATTTTGTATTACTGTTTGTCTACGATATCACCTTCGGTGGAAGTGGACGTAAAACTCCGGGAACGAACTACGTATTTATTCTTTGAATGGCATTTAGTAATTGGAATATAATCAAAAACACACTTTTATGGATAACAATTACTATGGTTTATTTCACGGCGACGTTTCAACAAGGTTGATAACGACTTGTGAAACCTTGTTGAAACGTCGCAGTGAAATAAACCATAGTAATTGTTATCCATAAAAGTGTGTTTTTGGCTTTTGAGAACTACGTATAACTGTATTCGCTTGATAAGAGAATGCCCTGCGAAACATCGCCCAAAATAAATAGTAGGTCCTGGTGTTTTCCATAAGTATGTGTTATAGTTTAGTATTTTCAAACTACTATTTAAATCTTTATTTAAATCTTAGATACTGCATATTTAAGTTAGAGTTATGCATAGCGGCCAATCGCAGGGAAGACGGAATTCACTTTCAATAATTGTTCCTGGTCCAATTCATTTATCAAAGTAGCTATAATGTACACATGGTAATATGTGGTGAACAGATTGTCTTTAATACTTAATACTACTAAGAGCAATCGACAGGCTAGTTGGTCTCTTATAAATTGATTGTCCGAACTAGACTTAATTACACTGGGGCCACATTGGAATTATTACTTCACAATACCAACAAATAGTTCGCTTAAAGGAACACTAGATATTGAGCTCTGTATTAAACGGCCATATTGACTTTCACTGCTGATCATTACTCGTAACTAATCGGTATAGCGATAATTCAATATGCCTCTAATTATATATGAATGATATGTATTGATCTTGGCTTTTGAATTGGGGATTATCATAGGAACCGGAAACCTCTAATGATCAATATACCAACAAGTGAACAGCGGGTTAAAGCATGTCGTATCTGGAAATATGTATGCGAAGGGGTAATAAGTTCTGATTTGTTTTTCCATAGTACATCAGTCTATTATTATGTTCAAACACTTAGGCTAGTAATTCTCTCCCCCAACGACATCAGTATTAAAGCCATGTCATTTCTTGGCCTATATTCCGGTTATCTTTAACTCTATAACCACAAAAAAAACAATACATTACGATCATCTAATAGAAATAATAGTGTAGATGTTTTGCTAGGCCTGGCCAAGTGAATCTGTAGGCAGTGGCGTCATTTTAGTAAGCGATTTCCCTGAGAATGTCTGCTTGGGTAAGAATATTTAAACCAATCACAGTGGCTTAAATTAGATATTTCATGATGGACAAATGTACCGTTAGATCCTTGGTTGTAATACTCTTCAAAAAAGTAGGGGATATTGAAATGCAAATACCTATGCAGGTTGTGACATGATAAATAGTAATGGACACTTGACATGCTTTGAGAGTATGTTCACAGATGAAGAACTTATCGCCCAACAGAACCACTGAACTGGATGTGCGACACGCAATAGCACCATACACGTGGGAGGGATTAGTTGTCAAATTTGACACTTCAAGGAAGGGTTGATGAAAACTGCCGCTTGCTGGTTTATACTATCCGTGTTTGCTTTCCCATTGGTTCTTGCATAAGATTTACTGTTTAGTGTATCTTTGCTTTAGTGTGTTACGTTTAATGTGATCGGGAGACCTGTTCGTCGACGTCAACGTCAACCGACAACACTGCAAGAATTGGCCGTGGCACTGCAAGAGGAGTGGGTCAGATTGCCCCAAATCGTGATTGGACGGTTGATTAGGAGCATGCCACGATGAATTGCTGAATGTCTGAGGATTGGTGGAGCAATTACTCATTATTAAGACAAAAATCAAAAACGTCCATTTTCACTTTTGACAGTGTATCTCTTTGCGAGTGAAATGGGGCCGTCAGATAAGCCGCCCATATGAACTGTTTATGTTCATGTGTAGGCAATTAGCCTGTTATTAACATACACTGGTTACCTCTAATAAAAACACCAGTGCATTTCCGCAGTTTCGTATTATTTCTGAATATCCCCTACTTTTTTTGAAGAGTATATATGATAAGCAAAGTAAAACTTAAATCCAAAATAAATAAAAATCCTTTCATTCAAGCGAGTGCCGGTGACATCTTTTTGATGGATGTGTAATTTGTCAATTATAAGTATGCTTAGCTTTGGTCGTTTTGAGACTTAAAAATGCATCTTCAATAAGTCCCTAGAGACGAAATACCATTTAATGCGAACGAGATTCAAATGTCAAGCGGAAATAAGCAATAATTCTGAAAATAGACATAATAAAAACTCAGAAAGGTGTTGAAGTATTACCTGGTTTTCGTCAATGGGCTTAATGGGTCGTGACAAACAAATGAGTAGCTTCGATTCACGTTGTCTTCAATAATAATACTGTTGTCAGACACTTCCGGTCATCCGAAACAAAACGGTCTGCTATGGGTGTAGATAATGTGGCGTCTGTATTAGCAGGGATTAAAGGGTGTATCATCACTGGGTTATTTACAATGATCGATTGTAAATGATAAGTAAAATCCAGTTTTCTTAAGGACAACAAATTAATAGTTTAAATTCGATGACACTGATTAACATGTAAAAAATCAAAACACGATAATCCACCCCTTCACAATTTATTTTTATTTCGCTGTGGTTTCGATCCCGAATCATGTGTTGGAAAACATTTAGCATACCGTACCTTCTGCATTACACCCATAGTTTTGACTTAGATTGCTTAAACCCAAGCTATGGTGAACCATTTGTTACCTTTGGCCGTTGCTATACACAGCCCCAAACAAAACAAAAAATATTACTAATTAAGATGGTCGTGACTGTTAATCTGTTTAAAGACCCGTGTGTCCAGTGAATAGAGTAAATCAGTTTAATAGGTGATTATATTTATATAGGTATTCTGTTATAGAGATGAGATTTAATAAGCAATTAACCAGCTTTCACTGACCAGCTGATAAATGGGCTCTAAGTAGACATAACATCGATTACATGATTTAAAGTAATAATGCACCTGTAACAACTGATAAGAGACGTTTATGGAGGATAAGATCAACAGTGTAAATGACGTTGATGATGAAGACGACAATGATGATGAAGATGATGAGGATGGGGATGATATACACGTATCTGTAACAAATTGTAATACGCGGAATCTATGGGAAAAGGCAAAAAAACGACACACACCACTGAGATTAATGATAAAAAGTAACCAGCAGTTATCAAGCCGATCTAACGGATGTCACAAAATTAATGTAACTAAATATTGTATAATTATTTTACAGTTATCTTTCATTCTTAATAATATTGTTACTGTACTAATTCTTGGACCTTTAAATCAAAGTATACGGGTTTGGTCTCTTATTGACATCATGTACAAATGAATATCGAAATAGGTGTTTGTTAAATAACGTTATACAATCAATATATTATACTTCCCCAGAAATGCTCTGTAACTTGGACACGTTTCCTTTCATAATCAAGATAGATACGTTTTAGCCTCCTCGTGACACGAACCTGTGTAGTGTAAATGCATATCGCAATTAATTTCCTGCAAAACAAGACGGCGTGGGAGGGAGCATTACAATTAGCTTCTGGTATTGTTGGGGTTTTTCTTCCTGATATGCTGATATATAGGTTCTCTTGGGTTTTTTTCAGCAACACAAGACGGAAAGTAAAACATTTTTATGTCCCATGAGCCACACTAGCATACTTCAAATCCAGATAGATCCGCGCGTGAACGCCCCCCCCCCCTCTCTCTCTCTCTCCCTCTCTCTCTCTCTCTCTCCACAGCAGATACGTTTGTTTATTTAACAGGGGTTCGTGTCAGCTTATATAACATTACATCACGTATTCATCCAACGAGATAATAAAACAATTAGAGATTTATATCCTTTAATCGTCCACATCTGCTGACAACTAGATGGCGCATTCCAAAGAATCACTTGACGACCAAATAAAGCTGTACATTGTTTAAGCAATAAAATTCGGCTTAAACAATGAGCTGCATTGTGATTAATGGGGTCTTTGGGAATTTTTACTCAATTTGCGCTTTTGGCAATTTTAATCAATTTTATTAAAGATTTAGCTGATAAGAAGATTATGATGCATCAGTCGTGATAATTTCACAGATGAGCTGCCATTAAAAACCCTTCGTTGTGATTAAAAAACGGTCGGAATTCACTTAACTACGTAATTTACGGACGATTCACTATGTTCCAGCATAAACGAGTTTTCACTGTATATTGAAGTCAGATCCTCATGGTTAGTTATCGATGCTGCGGTAAAAATGGTGTTAATCGTGGTTAATATTTTTGAAACCTGGTTCGAATTATTTGCGCCTGAATTGTCTTCGTAAGCTAGAAGTAAATCAAAACCTTGACTTGACTACTCAACTTTAATATAGTCTTCCGCAATATCCAAAAAGACATTTCTTTCTCTTGTAAAACTTGTTCAGGTTTTATTGATAAAGCCAGCTTACTTTTGGAGTAAATACTTCCTTACATTTTGACTAAATATATGCTTTCAAAGAAGCCTATGCTAAAATTCAAAATATAGAAGCATTTATAATGAAGCGTTTAAAATGGACGAAACCATGTATTTACTCATAATGTAAGGAAAAATTTATTCCAAATGTAAGAAATCGGTTAGTCAAAATGTAAGAAATCGGTTAGTCAAAATGTAAGAAAGTATTTAATCAAAATGTAGGGAAGCATTTAGTCAAAATACAGGGAAGTATATTGTTAAAACGCAGGGAAGCGTTTAATCGCTAATGTTGGAATTAAATGAGACAGTGTGAGTAAATCTGTTATCAGGTATACAGTCGGTACAGGTTGTATATATAGATTATTACAAACTGGTTATACAGAGAAAGTGGTGCTGAAATACACCAGCTGTTCAAAGAATCAAAAAAGTTAAAGATGCCTACCTGTCTCCATAGCAACGCTGGGAAGGTGTTGGCCAGGAAGGCCGAAACTGCCAAATGAGCTACAGGTAACACTATTCCAATCACAGCTGCAATCAGTGTTCTTAGAGGCATTAGGGAATATATCATAAAAATAACATATAACGTTTCCCAAACTCCGTTGGCTGGGTGGTGCCCTGCTCGTGGACTTCCTGGTATTATTATTCCAAAATCCGACGGAAAAGAAAACACAGAAAATCCGATAAGAAACAAAAGCAAAAGATAACACAGCCAAGAAAAATGAGATTCTTTCATAAACTTTGTGTTGATGTAAATAAAGATTGCTATAAAGAAGATGCAGTGGACAGTCAGATAAAGTGCCAATACTGTAATATATTCAGCATAGACAAAATTCAGTATGGATAAGCACAGTGTGAGCACTATAAACAACATAAGCATGTATTCAATAGACGATTGCTGTAGTTTGTAAACATAGCGGTTATATAAACTTTCCAATTCTTCGCAATCAAAATGATAACGACTGAAAAAGCGACAGAACTGAGGCTTTTTAACCTGTTTTAGCATCGGTGTATTCTCCATATTTGCAGCTATCCTTTCTCACAAAACGATGTGCCCCACGTTAAAAAGATTCATCCATGGCTTACAGTAATCTTTGTGTATATATCCACGGTGTAAAGCACCATTTAGTTATGGCTGAGTCTCTTGTATTACCAACATAATAACAGCCTTCCTCACACACTACTGATCCCGAACTAGCAGACGACAGAAATAGCGCGTGGCGTCACAGAAACCTCGCGAAGTTCTGTACTACTCTGAACTATTATTAGTCTGATGCTTCACATCGGCAAATTCTCGAAGTTTAAAATGGCGTGGGTTAAGTAAAATTCGTCTATATTTCTATGTTTAATACATGCCATTCGATACATTAATACGCCGGTCTGTTGTAACTTCAGTCAAACAATTGAAACCGACTCCAGTCTACCGTTCAATGGCGATCACAGCTTACCGATACTCTTGGCTGCCTTATTACATGTAAATCAACATACGTGATGCCTGAGTGGATGTGAATGAAAAGCCAGAGAGTCTGACGAATCAAACAACGATGTAAGCCATATATTCAACACATGTATTCAATCCACGTTGTCTTTTGTTATTTTTTGTTCAAACTGTCTTTCTTCTATACAGCGAAAGCCTTGGAAGTAAACTTGTATCGGTTCATTTCGATTCATTGAAAAGAGGATTGTAAATTGAGCTAAAACCAAACCATCTGTTACTAAAAGACTGTTATAAGTTCTGCAGTATTACTGGGGACACGTGAGGGATCTAATTACATGATGGGGGCTAACTAAGATTTTGAAGATGAGCTAACCTGCGCAAAGACTTAATATCACATACCCCACCACACCACATCCCGATTGGCGAATATGCCAGCCAGATCCTGTAAATAATCATGAAATTTTAAATAATTTCGAAATGACAATAATCTGCCACCATTAATTGCATTACCTGCATTGCTAAGGGCAGCGAATAACTTTTAAAATAATAATGGAATATTAAACAATTCCGAAACGACCACATTAGTTTAAACAATATTTTATTCATTTGAAAAGGATTGAACAACAGGCAAAGCCTATATAAGTTCTTTCCCAGGGATACCCGCAGGGATACAGAAAAGTTGTCTGCGATATCACCTCGGTGGAAGTGGACGTAAAATACAACTAAGTAAGTAAGTAAGATACAGAAAATAATAAACGATAAATATAACATAAACATAAAAATAAAATTAAATATAATAAATTGTAAAACCGAACATATATACAGTTTCATGTGGAAATGATATATACGATGCAATTATTTGATATTATACAACAATAATATGCATCAAATAAGTTTTAAAATAATACTACCGTCTTTTGGCATAACTTAGTATGTCACCATTTAACGTTTGAGAAAAACTAGGTAAACGAACAGAATAGTAATGATAAAGTTATAGCCAGTTTTTGGTATAGTGATTTTGTGTTGTTTTCAAAACCTATCATATACTCGGTTTTCATCTTGCATGTGTGAAAAAATGTTTAGACATACTAGAAATTGTCTTACCCGTCATTCACTAATAGTAACAGATGATTTTTTCAAAAAGATATGAAAGAACCCTTTAAAAGGCTAAATATTAAAGCATCTCATTTTCTCCCAAAACGTGTCTTATTAGGCCTCGCCTTGCTAGGAAATACTATCTGTAGACAGATTCGGAAAAAGCACCCCAATTTTTAAAAAATAATTATGTCAATGCCCATGTGTTCAACCTGGGAGACAAAAATGCGCTTGTGTAAATTTTAGATTAACACCAGCTCTAGTTGATATAATAAATGTGTCAGATGGCCTTCTTTTATTAAAACTAAAAATGATACACATTAAGATTTTAACATAAAAGTGTTCAGATATTTTAGCGGGCTAATCCAGTTAATAAAACGTTACTTAAAGTAGCTAAGTCTCTAAATCAGTATCATTCAAATTCTTCGACATTGAAAACAAGAATTATTTGTCAATTTAAGCCAAAATTGATGTTGTGATCTTACCGGGAAAAGATGGACTTCTGATATCCAATATTTAAGACAAAAAAAAATTGTATCATTGGTACACGAATCGTGTACCATAATGCGCTTCGGCGCCATTTATAACTTGGGACTCGAGGAACGAGGGTAGACATATTCCACAAGTCATGTCAAGCGGTGACGCAATATTCTTGTCTGGAGAGCATGTACAGTAAATACCACCGGTGTAGACTAGAATATCCAGGCACCAGAGATTGCCATTCGATTGAGACTTTTGGTTCGCCGAACATAACGGATTTAAAATTAGAGTAAAATTGGAAATGATTAAATGTAAATCAGTTTATATACATTCATATTACATTATTATATGCTTTGCTGCCCATTTGTGTGAATTTCTAGGTCCCATATATTAGCGTTTTAGCTCCTTTAAATCTGCTTTCACATTATAAAACTGATTGACAGCATGCAAAAATAGACGCAAATCCTTTAAAACATTACATAAAAACTGCTTCATCATTTGTAGGCTAGAACATATGCTTTTATTTATCATAATGTTTTATAATGTTTTATGAGCAATGAAAAATGTATGTAACTAAATATCAAAAACAAGGATTGGGTAATAATACATATTTTTATATTTCTTTTCAGGTAACAAATGTAACACAATTAATGTTCCATGGAAAACTGTAAACAAACCAATATCTTTTTATGTGATTGAATTTTTCATTGAACTCACATAATTAAAAGTGTAGTCCGAACTTGATTAATAACTCAACAATTGACAAGCGAGAGAGAGAGAGAGAGAGAGAGAGAAATGGGGTTTAACGCCCACTCGACACAAACTAGGTCATTTCAGGACTAACATATGGTTCCATTTTATTTCAATAATTCGCTTGTCACGTACAACCGGGGAATCGAAACCACATCAGTTGACTCAATGACAGACCTAATGATACAACGCGCACGCGCTAAACATCCCCCCGCCTTCCCCAATTGACTGGGTACGTTGGAGCAGGACAAAAGTCACAACATTTTAATTTAAAAAGTTGTGGAGTGACCATGGCCAGCTTCAATTAGCACCGTCGCACTGTACCATCCCATTTGTTCCTCTTTCGGTCAGCGGGGGGGGGGGGGGGGGTGGATGGGTGGATGGCCGAATGGTTAGCACGCGCGCGCTGTATCATACGGTCTGTCATTGAGTCAACTGGCGGGGTTTCGATTCCCCTATTGTACGTGCCTGTGCAACCTTGTTGGT